CCCCAAAACCCCAAAACCCCAAAACCCCAAAACCCCAATATATGTATATATTTTACGGATTCTAAGAAAATAAATTATGCTTTGGCATACCTCTTCTTTGCAGCATACCTCCTCCTTCGCACTTTTAGCTTTGATTTAGAATCTGGGTCCACAACTTCTGGTTCAGGGGCTGCTAAAGAATCATGATAAGAACTTACGATTAAATTTTTCTTGGTTTTCCTCTCGAATGAGACCAGAATTCATGTTTATAGAAAACTTCTTTGCCATTTTTATCTCACTTGGGTTGAGTTCCTCTGAAGGGCTATCTGATTCTTGGTCTGAGTCATCTTGATCGTAATTTTCTTCATTAATTTCTTGTCTCTTAATCTTCAATTTTCTTTTGTCAAAAAGGGAGTGGTACTCATCTTTGAGCATGAGGAGGAGCTTCTCAAATTCCAAGTCAAAAGACATTTTAACATCCCTCTTGTCATGGATAACCTTCTCTCGTCTCTTTTCTTTAAATGATTCTTCATAGTTCTTGAAGTTATCTTGTGCGTTGCACATTAGCTGGAATATCCTGTGTAAAGTATCAGAACGAGAAAGCATGGCTAAACTCTGGGTATCTTCCAGAATTATATTTCTTTCTTGAATGGTGAATCCTTTCTCAGGCATCCTGCTTTCCTCAAGTCTCTCAAGAAGACTCTCAATTTTCTCACCTTCTTGGCTAAGCCCACTGATAATATTTGGATTGTGCTGGCTGACTGAGTCTTCATTATCCAACCCATAAGTGTCATAACTTTGATCGTTCATGCCAAGCTTAGGAGATGCGATCATTGTGTTTGCTCCTTCAGGAGCATTCTCAGGATTACCACGAGCCTTCTGCTTCTTCTTTGCTGGGGACATCGGGTTTTGCTTCATAAATTCTTTCCTATTCTTCTGTGCTTGCTGGAGTTTCTTGTCTGGAGAATCCATATATCTCTGAGATGGTAATTTTCTAGTCAGTTTAGCAGTCTTTGAGAAATCTACTTCCTCCTTTACTCCAATTTTAGAGTCATGTCTCTTGCTGGGAGTATTAGGCGTTTTCTTTGGCTTGTTGTCTAGCCATCAGTCAACTCTTTTAGGTATCTTCTTGAGATAGTTCAAATCCTGAAATTGTTTTGATGATTCAGTCTGAGATTTCTTCTCGCTAGCTTGATTTTGATTATTGGTTTTATGTTTATCGAATCTTAGATTGCCTACTTTTGTTAGTCTGACACTTTCTTCATTAGAAAGTTTCCTTCTACACAAGGAAGTGTTTTCATTGACACTCATGATGTTGACGAGCTCATCTTCATCATCTTGGATCAAGCTTATTGGTTCACTAATTAACTTTTCAACACGCTTAGATTTTTCTAATTCTTTTTGTTGCTCAATCATTTGTGCTTCTTCCTTCTTCTTCTGCTTCAATTTAGCCTCTTTGGCTGCTTTCATAGGGTCATATTTTTGGCCTTGTCCTCTTTTGAGAAATTTTTTCTTTGGCTTTTTAGATTTTACTTCTTCCTTCTTAGGTGATACCGATTCTGTGTCAAGGCTTTGCTTCCCTAAGACATCTTCGATCGCTTTCTCAGGAGATTTTATATTGTAGACTTCAGTGCTGGTGGGTTTTTATTTAGACCAGATTTTTTCTTCAAAAATGTCTTCTTCTTTGGCGGTGGTTTTGGCTTTGGTGGGGAAAAGTCGAACACCATCATTTCGACTCCTCCAGATGTTCCTCCTTCCATTGGAGCTACAGGTGGCATTCCTCCCCCTCCAATAGGTCTATCGTCAGGATCTTGGAAAGTATTTGCTGGAGGCTGTGATGCAAATCCATATGATTGGGAGCCTTTAATAGGTCTTTCATCAGGATTAACACCCTTAGATTGAGTTATATCAACAGCTATTGGCTTATCGACTGCCATCTCTTTGAGTCTCTGGTTTTTCTCTCTCATTTTCATGACTCTACCTCTCTTTTGATGAATTCCCTTCTCACCTTTAACTGAATGAAACCATTTAGGGTTATTAACCATATTGGTTAAGGCCACTGAGTAATTCTCCCTTGCCTTCAGGATATGATTATTTGGTTTTCCATTAGGAGGCGAAGAGGTATAAAACTCCTCGACTTCTTTTACTTGGCTCTTGAGGTTCTGGAATTTCTGTGAATTCACAAGCTTCCTAGTCTTCCATGCTAGCCATATTGATCTGAGGCCATACTTTAGCTTCATAAAGGGAGAATTAAAGTATTTTAGACTATGCTTAGGTTAAAATCTTACTTTGGAGCAACAGCTCTTCTTATTTTCTGATTCTTCCTTGTCTTTCGTAATCTCTGAAGAAACCTAACACAGGGGTAGAGCTTGTATATCGATTTGGAATTTCTGTTAAAGTTCATCTTACGGTTCATTCCTTTAGAAGGACTTTTAGAGGAGATCTTTTTCTTGGAGGGAGATCCAAGCATATATTTACTTTTATTTATAGCAATTTTACGAAGACGATGCCTCCTGTACTCCCTCATTCAGAGGATATATAGCTTAGACCAGTTTCGTAAGGCTCTCTGGTTAGTAATATGCAATTCAAAGTTGCTTTCGAAGGAACTTTTGTTGATTTCCATTGGGTTTTGTTGAGAAGTAAGCGCAGAAGCTTGACTTGAAAATAAAATATTCCTTCTATCCACACCACTTGAGTTACTATGGCCAAAGTTGAGTTCACTCACTTGTGCAAAAGGGTTCTGGACTGAATGCCGAGCAGTAAGAGGTATGTTAATGTTACAGGTGATTGACTCTCGAGGAATAATACTGTTATGAATTGATATTACTTCTGCAACATTCGTCTCTTCATCTGGAATTTCATCATCACCTTCCTCATATGGTACTGGATTTTTAATTATCTTCTTTTTGAATTTCTCATTAAACGAAATCTAAGAGTTAATGAAAATTTACGAAAAAACCATCATTGCCAGAGTCGCTTACTTCCTTCTGGCTTCCGAGGGGAACCTGGAAGCTGCTTGCAGTTTTGGAAAAGCCACTGAAATTCGATTCACTTTTTCCAGAATTATTTAACTCAGCATAGGCATAAGGACGTCTCTTGTTGGGAGAGTGTACATAAGGATTTTCTGGGATAACTCTTCCAAAAGGTGAAGGGGATACCTGCGAAGCAGAATTAATCGAAATGTTAGAGTATTTCCTCCCACAATCTTGAGCACTATACTCCTCTCGCAATGGAGGATACTTTGGGATAATCCCGGACACTATCCTAGTGTTATTTCGATGAAAAATAGGGGATTGCCTAAAATTAAAAAAGAAAGAATTACCCAAACAAGGGTTTACTGTTCATATTATTAGGAGTATTTGGTTGCATCATCATGACATTTGGTTTACTACATTAAGTTATTCAGAATAGTTGTGTTAAAAATAAAAAGTGAGGACATGGTTCAAACAACTTTAAGATTTTATTGAAAAATAAGTTCAACTATTCTTTCAGAGTTAAAATCAACCTATATCCAACTTACTTATGAAATAAATCTTTTCGATTCTCCATAATCAGCTTATTATTGTTTTTCTAGATAGTTAAAATACATTATTTGAACCAAAATCCAAATAAAACCACTCAAAACACCTCTAAAACCACTCAAAAACCTCTAAAACTCCTCAAAATTGCTCTAAAATTAATTTTCATGCAATTTAGATTTCTATACCCCAAAATTTTCATTTAAACCCCTAATCCTTTAAAGCCTTCTTCCAAACCTCCAAAGTCCCATACATGAACTTCAGATTCCCTAACCCTGTTTAACCTCTCTTACATTTGGGCTTCTCCAAGTTCCAAAACTCATTTTCTTTTGCTTAAAAATTTATAATCCAATAATGATCTATTCTTAAGGGGTTTTGGGGTTTTGGGGTTTTGGGG